TGACTGGCTCCTGCGTTGTCCGCTTCTCCCCGGGCTCGGTGTCATCGCTTATGCCGATGACACCCTCGTCACAGCCCGGGGGCGCTCTTACGAGGAAGCGGCACGCTTGGCCACAGTCGGCACCAATCTTGTCGTCGACCGGATAGGGATGCTGGGCCTGAGGGTCTCCGTCTCCAAAACGGAGGCCCTCCTCTTTCATGGCCCACGCAGGGGTGCCCCCCGCAACGCCTGTCTGCGGGTCCAGGGTAGGATGGTGGAGGTACGGGCCCAGATGAAATATCTGGGCCTGACCCTGGACGGACGCTGGACGTTCCGTGTCCATTTCACCCAGCTCACCCCGAGACTGATCGGCGCCGCCTCGGCCCTCGGCAGACTTCTGCCGAATGTCGGGGGCCCTGGATCTCACTGCCGGCGGCTCTATGCCGGCATCGTGAGGTCCATGGCACTGTACGGTGCCCCCGTGTGGATTGACGCCCTCTCCGCGCCGAACAGGGCCCAACTGCGCAAGGCGCAACGGGTCCTGGCGGTGAGGGCGGTACGGGGATACCGTACGGTGTCATTCACGGCGGCGACGCTTCTGGCGGGCGATCCGCCCTGGGAACTCCAGGCGGAGGTGCTCGCCGAAGTGTACCAGTTTCGGGCGAGTGAGCGGGCTCGAGGGGAACGTCCTGCGCGGGAGAAAGTCGCTCGGATCAGGCTCCTAGCTGACGAGGCACTGATCCGGCGCTGGTGGGAAGACCTGGGGACTCCAGCGGCTGGCTCGGCGACGGTGGGGGCGGTTCGTCCGTTCCTGTCTCGCTGGGTCAGGCGGCCACACGGCGTCCTGACGTTCAGGTTGACGCAGATGCTTACCGGGCACGGGTGCTTTGGTAAGTATCTGTGTCAGGTTGCGCGTCGGGAACCGTTGCCCGCATGCCACGGGTGTGGTGCGTCCGAGGACACCTCGCACCACACCCTCGCGGTATGCGCCGCTTGGGCTCCCCAGCGCCATGCCCTGATGGCGGTAGTGGGTGGAGACCTGTCGTTGCGAAGCGTGGTGGGGGCCATGCTACGCGACGAGAGGTCCTGGTCGGCGATGGTCTCCTTCAGCGAGGCCGTCATCTCACTGAAGGAGACGGCGGAGAGGGAACGCGAGGCTAACGCCTTAGCAGACCCTCTTCGTCGCCGTCGGCTGGGGGAGAGGAGGCGTCGGTACGCCCATCTTCTCCCGCCACCCTAGAGGAGCTACTGCGGGGGGGTCTCTCGTCGACTCCCCTGCACGTCATCGGGGCGGTCGGGATGCCCTGCGAACCGAGGGCATCCTGATTTAGGCGAGGCAGGCCCGCGGGGTACGGGCCGTCCGCAGGGGTGTTGCAGTGAATGCGCAAGCGATCCTGCACACCCCATTGCACTGCGGCGACGGGTTCCGCTGTGGGTTTTAGTGAGTAGGAGTCTCACAGTACCCTACCCATTGACGGCCGGTAGGGTCCCCATGATGGGTTTCCCCAGCGATATCAAAAAAAAAAAAAAAAAAAAAAAAAAAAAAAAGGTTAGGTTAGGTTAGGTTAGGTTAGGTTAGGTTAGGTTAGGTTAGGTTAGGTTAGGTTAGGTTAGGTTAGGTTAGGTTAGGTTAGGTTAGGTTAGGTTAGGTTAGGTTAGGTTAGGTTAGGTTAGGTTAGGTTAGGTTAGGTTAGGTTAGGTTAGGTTAGGTTTAGGTTAGGTTAGTTAGGTTAGGTTAGGTTAGGTTAGGTTAGGTTTAGGTTAGGTTAGGTTAGGTTAGGTTAGGTTAGGTTAGGTTAGGTTAGGTTAGGTTAGGTTAGGTTAGGTTAGGTTAGGTTAGGTTAGGTAGGTTAGGTTAGGTTAGGTTAGGTTAGGTTAGGTTAGGTTAGGTTAGGTTAGGTTAGGTTAGGTTAGGTTAGGTTAGGTTAGGTTAGGTTAGGTTAGGTTAGGTTAGGTTAGGTTAGGTTAGGTTAGGTTAGGTTAGGTTAGGTTAGGTTAGGTTAGGTTAGGTTAGGTTAGGTTTAGGTTAGGTTAGGTTAGGTTAGGTTAGGTTAGGTTAGGGGTTAGGTTAGGTTAGTTAGGTTAGGTTAGGTTAGGTTAGGTTAGGTTAGGTTAGGTTAGGTTAGGTTAGGTTAGGTTAGGTTAGTTAGGTTAGGTTAGGTTAGGTTAGGTTAGGTTAGGTTAGGTTAGGTTAGGTTAGGTTAGTTAGGTTTAGGTTAGGTTAGGCCGGGGCAGAGGCTGACTGCTACCGGTGCGCGTCCCCCGGGTGGCGGATAGGGGAATGCCACTCGCGATGTTCCCCAGACAGGAGCTTGTGGTACCGGAGCAATCCGGCGCGGACCAACAGCCAGGAGGGGCAGGGGGAGCGGTTGTCAGGAGGGCGCCGTCTCCTCCTTGGAGGTAGCGCGGTGTCTCCGGCCGTTTTGCGGTAGGAGGCGCTGCGCGGGCCGTGCTGCCGGGGCTAGCCCGTCGGTGCGGCGGCTGGAGCGGGGCCATTTCGGTGGTCCTGCGTCTGGCGTGGTTGTCGGCAGCCATCTTGGTCCGGAGGTGGGCCGACGGTAGGGGGGCCGCGGGGGAAGAGGAGTGTCGGTTATGGCGATGCGCCGCTCGTCCCTATCTCCCGCGGCCTAGCGGGGCCACCACCGTTAGATGGTGGACGCGGTGGGGCTGCAGAGGAAGAGGAGTGTCGGTGTGTCGTTGCCGCTCTCCCTGTCCTCTGCAGCCGATTGGAGGTGGCCTACTTCGGTGGGCGGAGGTTGGATTTGATGGGGCTGCTCCGGGTACCTCTCTGGTGTAGCAGAGTTGACTGTGGAGCAGCCTCATCGGTATGGTGGTCAGCCATTGGCAGACCTGCCGCCGGGGCGCCGTAGTAGTTATGCGCGAGCGATCCTGCGGCGTCCCATTAAGGCGGAGGGGAGGGGAATGTCGGGTTTTAGTGGGTAGTACCGGCTCTTCTAGCCGGTGAGCCCCACATAACCACCTGGGGGGGAGGGGGGGTTTATCAGGTGGCATGCGTAAATGCATTTCCCGACAAAAAAAAAAAAAAAAAAAAAAAAAAAAAAAAAAAAAAAAAAAAAAAAAAAAAAAAAAAAAAAAAAAAGGTTAGGTTAGGTTAGGTTAGGTTAGGTTAGGTTAGGTTAGGTTAGGTTAGGTTAGGTTAGGTTAGGTTAGGTTAGGTTAGGTTTTTTTTTTTTTTTTTTTTTTTTTTTTTTTTTGAGCCGATGTTCCTCTAACATGGAGATCAGAGACCTTTTTTACAATGTTTTTTGTTTACATAAGTATTTTACCTTAAGGGTATGGGTGGATTGTTTACAATGAAATTTTCTATTTCTAAATTACTTTTAACATGGGCCTTATTTTATTACAATTTTTATTATTTCTAAAGTTCTTACATGGGTTTTTACTTAATATTTTACATACATTTTTATTTCTTATGATTTATACATTTTTAGCTTGCTTATTCTATATCTTAGTTTTATTTATTTTAGTCTTATGTTCTATTTTTATGTTGCTTCTCGACTTTCTGGAGTTGTTTCCATTCGGTTTTTGTCTATTGTTATTTTACACGGTTCTTATTGCTATAATATCTTATTATTATGTACATTTTATATATTGTTCAACAATATGTAAATATACTATTTTCTTACTTATGCTATTTATTTACTTATATATATGTACTGTTTTATGGTTTTTATAAGTTTTTTTTTTTTTTTTTTTTTTTTTTTTTTTTTTTTTTTTTTTTTTTTTTTTTTTTTTCAGTACCTATTTTTTACTTTTATTATTTGCTAAGAATCCTGTTGGGGTTTTGTGTGCCGACTGTTGTAAACATGTTAAGTAATTAGTTACTCTTCACGTTTGCAGTGGTGGGAATTTGTTGCTTTTCCGACGATCTGCTGCGGTGTAAGCTAAGCTTGCTCCGTGATATCTTCATGATATCATGCAATTTTCGCGTCTGACGCATGTTCTGCTAGTGTGGTTTTGTTTTTAATAGTAGGCGACGCTAGAGCGTGCTAAGGCGTCCCATTTCTTTCTCACCGGACAGTGTGTGTCGAAGCTGTTATGGTCCGTTTGTGCACACTTTGCCTGCTGGCAGTTCCTGCACGTGGGCTCCTCACCTGCCAGCAGGCTTGGGCATTCGGTGCGCATGTGTGGGCCGGCGCAGTGGCTGCACAGATCGACTGATTCGGTGCACCACTTCTTGCCGTGCCCAAAGGCGAGACATCTCGAACACTGGAGGAGGAGGGGACAGGTCAAAAACCTAGACCCTTTGAAATTCCACGTACAGTCTGCCCGCAGTTGTCATCGCTTGCCACATCTGTGGCGATACCTGTAGTACAACGTGGTTTTCCGTGGGGTCTCTGGCTCTCCTCCTATGTCGGACCTTCATTCTGTGATGTTCCATCGGCACTGAATCCAGTACCTCCGGGTTTTGTTTTTCTATTGCTTGCAATATACCCTTATCAGTAATACTTGATGTCACGTTTCTTAATATAACCAGAGGGTCTTTGTTTTCCTTTGGTTCCACCTTGAAGTTGTTTTTCTCTAAGGTTTCCTTTATGTGCTCCATGTCTGTCCTTTTCTCGCATCCAATCAGCACTCTTTGGTCTTTTACTTTTCTGAGCTTAGCTATTTGTAAGCCAGAGTCCCTTGCGTTGATTGTATCTTTGATTTTTATTATGACATCTTCGCTTGTGTCTATGGCGTCTTCTGTTCCTACGATGAGACAATGGGTAGTTTTAGGTCTCTGCTCGATAAGTGCTTCAGAAGTATAACTTATTAGGTGTTTTTTGCTTTTCTTTGTCCGGTTCTACTTGTTCTACTTGTTGTATTTGTTTTGCTTGCTGTGTTTGTTTTATCAGTTCTAGTTTGTTTTTTACTTCTTTCACTTCCTGTATTGTTTCTTTGGCTACTTCATTTTGTGTTTGTATTATGTCTGTCATTTTTTCTAGTTTCCCATTGATCTCATCCATTCTGTCGTCGTTATTTTGGTCTTTCTTTTGTCTGTATTTCTTTCGTTTCTATAATTTCCTCTTCAGTGATTCGATGGCTTGTTGGATGTTTCCACTAATTTTGCTTTGTTCCTCCGCCGCCTCCGCCAGCTTTGCTGGAGCTTTGATCATAAGCTCCAGTGTTCTTTGTTGTGCAGCCTGCAGGTCTTTCATTCCCGTGATCTCTTCCGTTATTAATAAAAGTGCTGCCTGGGTGGTTTTAGTTATGAGGCTCTGTTCCTTTACTGCCTCCAGCACTTTTAAGATTTGTGGAGGTTGGGGTCTGGTCTTGCTCTGTCTTCCTTCTGGCTAATATAATCTCTAAGTTGTTCTTTACAGCCAGCCTAGAGTCATTTAAAAGGTCAATGATCTCGTAGAGTCTCTGTAGGCGCGTTTATAAGTGTGTCTTTTATAGTTGTTTTTAAGTTGCCAGAGCTGTCCATCTGCTGCTTTGCCGTTTTTAAGATTGCCTTTGCCTCATCTTTGAGGCTGTCCATGTCCGGCTCTGGTGGATTTGGCTTTGGCTGGCTTCCACTTTTCCTGGAGGTGGAGGCCTTCACGGTGGGTTTTGAACATTTTGTCAGAGTTCGGCTCTCGTCAAATTTTGTCAATATAATAAATTATTATAGCGAGTGTAAATGGCTCGCTATATGTCTTAGTCTACCTTAATCTACTTAATTCCTATTTAAATTCCAATATGGAAGTATCTGCCTTTACAGATAACACGATATTTTACAGATTTTCTATGAACCTACTAATAAAAATTTTAATTTTTTGGGTGAGGGGGGGAAGGGGGGGAGGTATCCGGGGTCTGATAGTAGGGGGTTTTAGGGCTCGCCGAGACCTTTAATTTGAGCCCAAACTCGAGGAATTTCGGGCAATTTTTGACGAAGTTGGCAAGAATGTTAGTTTTTGGGGTTTGGTGGGGTCGATTTTGAGGTTTTTTCGAAATTTTAAATTACTATTAATTTTAAGGGGGGTTTATCTATATAATATATTTTTTTGGCCAAAATCATAGGAGTGCAATTTTAATTAAGTTGGTTTTTTAAGTTTTTGGGGTTTAAGGGGTTTACCGAAAAATTTTTAATTTTTGAATTTAGGGTTCGGTTTTGTAGCGCCTACCACCTGACATTAATTTTGTCTAGATCGGTTCAGCGGTTTAGAAGTTTATGACGGTTTAAGTAGAGGGGGGGTGGTGGGCGTGGGCGAGGGGGGGGGGAGGTCTCGTGGGTAGCCTTGGGGGTCTTTGGGGGTGTTGGGGGTCTTTCGGGGGGTGGGGGGTGATGCCTAATACCCAAGAGTGGGCAAGCTGGGATGGACAGGGACGGAGATATGAAAATCCCAAGTTTGTGGGGGGGGGGTACAAAAAGACAAAAATTTTCTAAGTCCCTGTCCCTATGACTTAGTGGTTGTAATCTTATAGTATAGGATTCAATTTTATTTAATTATTACAAAGTTCTATGTTTATACCCCCCTATGGTTCAGTGGTGAAGTCTAAAAAATTTTAAAATTTTTCTAAGTTCGATAAAAATGTTACAGAGTTCTATGTTCTTATAATATTACAAGGTTCTATGTTGATGTTCCTATGGATCAGTGGTTACTTTTCGTGAAGGTACTAAGTTCGATTTTTATTGGTTATTACAAAGTCCTATGTTTTATAGTATTAAAAGGTTCTATGTTACAACCAGGTGACTGAGGGGTAAGGGTAATGTGAACAAGGGGGGGGAGGTGTCTGTAGTCTGTTTTTAATATTTTGCTTAAGGGGTGAGGGGTAGTGTGTCAGAGGGGGGGGGGAATGTGGCGTGATGCGCAAGTCAGTAAGTCTAAGGGGTGCGGGGTATGGGTCGTAGGGGTCAGGGGGGTGTTAACTATGATTTTAGAAATTATTCTAAGTTAGTTCCACTATAGCTCAGTGGAAGTTATACTAAATCGTAGGTTCGATTATTTAAAATAATTAAATTAAGTCACTATGTAATAACATAGAGTTCAGTATCCTACTTAATTTCTTATTAATTTAACTTAACCTAAAGTCCAGCTCGAACTTGGCCGTATTTGGTCGTTGACCAATAGGAGCAATCTACGGCCAATGAGATTAATCTACAAAACTATCACAATTTTTGTCCGACCAATCCTTGCTTTATACACTTTTTTGAGCAACGCCCCGTATATATATCGAGCAAATTTTGTCCAACTCGTACGTTCGTTGAATATAATTATATTAATTTTATATGTGAAAGAATTTTTTATTAAATTTTTGATTTCGAATAATTTATTGGTGTTAATTTTGAAGTCCAAATATGATTTTAGCTTTTATAAATTTTAAAGAAATATTTAATTTTTAATTATTTATATTTGCAAGCGGTGCCGGGAGGCAAGTACTCTATATATTTCAACACTTTTAGCTCCGCCCGGCTCCGTATAGTGAATATGGGTTGGACAAATTTTGTTCGTAAAGAGATTTTATATGATTTTTTACTATGTTGAATTTATATTTTACAAATTTTTAATTTTATTGTTATTTAATATATACTAATTATTACTTTTAATTACTAGGTAAATTTCTACTACATAGGAAAATTTTAATTTTGTCAAATATTTTATATTTTATTGGGAAGCAAACCCATAAAACATCGTATGTTTAGAAAAGTTGATATTAATATTTTCAATACGTATTTTTAATCTACACTTTTATGCTATATTATAGATTGGCTAATATCTTAAAAACTACTGAGTGGATTTTGATGCGGTTTTTTTCCATAAAAAACTAGAAGAGTTGCTCTTCACTTTTCAATAATTTTTCACGGGGTCGTCACTGAAGAAAATGTTTAATCTTCCTCCGAAGTTTGTCAATTTTTTACGAAATTTTAAAAAGTCTATATCTTTGTCACTGTTTTAGTTACGGCTATGCACGATACCTTTCTGTGATCGGCGCGTCCTGCTCTTTCCAGTAGTGGTGGTTGAAAGTCTCTGTCTCTCTCCGTTTGGGAAAGAGAGAATCCGGCCAAACTTGTTTTTTTGAGCTTTTTGACCACTTCCCGGTTGTCCAAAAATTCCGGGAGTGGTGTCGTTGGATAGGTCTTAGAGAGCACTTTTAAACGCACAAAATAAATTGGTACGTTGTCGATCTAGATCGAGCGGCGCACGCGAAAACAGTTTAAAAATGTCTAAGTTATCACTTTTTGCCAAATTTTGGCTAATTCCGTGCACCAATTTTTGTCACTATTGTTATATATTTACACGTTGACACTTAATACACTATATTTCACAGTTTTTTAGCAAAAATTCAGTCTTTTTTCTATTATTTAGCGATTTTTAAAGTTTTAAACGCCGTTTCTTCGACCGGGAGCACTGTTTCCGACGCAGTGAAGCGCGTCCCGTTTCGCTCCCGGTGGTCGAGCGGGACTCGGTTAGGTTAGGTTAGGTTAGGTTAGGTTAGGTTAGGTTAGGTTAGGTTAGGTTAGGTTAGGTTAGGTTAGGTTAGGTTAGGTTAGGTTTAGGTAGGTTAG